GAGTTGCCACGCCTAGCAGCCCTGGTTCCCCATCTGGACTTGTCAGAGTTTAAGCCTCATTACACAGAACAGGATGAAGAGCGGGCCCGTGAATGGGGATTCACTAATACTGATCCCAATTCTATGTGGAAGGTCAATTCCCATGGTATGATTTTACTCCCTGAGGCTCTAGTATATCCCGTCCTCAAGCACCTACATGAAGGGACCCACTATGGAAGGGATGCTCTAATGGATTTCATTAGGCCATATCTGAAGGGCCCTTATTTGCAAAGGACTGTCCATAGGATTAGCCAACCCTGTCAGATATGTGCCAAAAACAATCCTAAGACAGAGCGTGTTCCCACAGAAAAAGGAATACAATACAAAGGAATGTGCCCCTTCAAGGACTGGCAAGTGGACTTCACACAAATGCCTAAAACGAAGGGAAATTTCAGATTCTTGTTGGTCTTCGTGGATACTTTTTCTGGGTGGGTAGAAGGGTACTCCACCAGGACTGAAAAGGCAACTGAGGTGGCAAAACTGTTGCTTAAAGAAATAATTCCCAGGTTTGGACTTCCCCAGAGCATTCAAAGTGACAATGGACCATCGTTCACTTCAGAAATCTCTCAGAAGGTCAGACAGGCATTGCAGATACAATGGAAGTTGCATGCATCTTGGAGGCCTCAGTCCATAGGAAAGACTGAGAAAATAAATCACACCATAAAGAAGACTTTGGCAAAAATATGCCAAGAAACACATTTAAAATGGGACCAGGCACTCCCCATTGCTTTGCTCCGAATCAGAGTGGCACCTAGAAGTGGGCTTAAACTGAACCCGTTTGAAATAGTTTATGGGAAACCTCTCTGAGTTTCTGCTTTAGGTACACCCCCTCTGGATTTAGAGCATGAGGCATGAATTAAGCAATATGTACAGCATTTGGGGCAGACACTAACCATTTTGCACAAGTTTGCTCATTGCAGGTCTGTCTACCACTCTGATGAGCCCTTGCACCCATTCCAGCCAGGGGACCAGGTCCTACTAAAGACCTGGAAGAGCCAAGGCCCTGAACAGCAGTTGTCTGAACAATGGACTGGTCCCTACGATGTCCTGTTGACACTCATTCCTCCCTGAAGCTGATGGGAATTAAGCCCTGGATTCACCACACACGGGTAAAACATGCACCACCGAAGGGAGACGAAGACCCTACTGCTGCAGCTAAGGCAGAAAGGGAAAGTTGGACCTGCACTCCGGAGGAAGGTTTGAAATTCCTCTTCTGGAAAGAGACAACAAATCCCGGTACAGGGTGACAGTGTTTGTCATGTCATAAAAGTGTGTGTAAAGCTAGAGACTTTTAGCTGCCATGTACTGAGTTTAAGTATAGTCCTTCCCAGTGTGGGAAAGAAACCAGGATTAAAAGAGAATGATAGTTAAACCTGAGTAAGTAAAATTATGTATAAAGGTTGTGAAAGTTTTAAACCTGGAGTAGAGGAAACCTGAACTACTTGTTTTATGGTTTCATGGGAAAAGAGCAAATTTCTCACATTGGTTGCTTCTGATCAGAAACCTTCTATACTTTAAGACTTAGGAAAGGTCACCTATAACCGGTTGGGGAGTATGCCTTTGCCAGTCAGGACCCAGGAAGGGTCATTTGGAGCTGACGAGTGCTTCAGCCAGAGCAAAGGGGGCAAGTCTCTGCCATGAGACCGGACCTGAAGGAGCATGTCTCTGCAAGGCACCAATGGATGCATTGGTGCAAGAGAATGCTTCTACCTGTGTATTATTCCGGAACTCTATGTTTGGATTTTGCTCTGTATCTGCTCTGCAAAGGAAATTGAGGATCCCAGGGAACGTTGAAACTGTACACTCTGCAGGAAAGTGCACAAGAGAAAGTGTAAAATGTGTAAATGAAGAAGGCATATGAAAGAAAGATGAGAGGGTTTGTGAATGTTGCAGAAGGTCTGTGGAAGTGAAGGTTTTGAGAAGCCTGGTGGATATCAGGAGGGAAAGGATTTTCCTTCACACTTTGTATTTTTCTCCCTACCTGATCCCTCCAAAATTTGGCATTCTGAAGGAGTGAGTGATAATATAAGGTTTCTTTGCATAAAACCAGTAAGACCGGTCCTTAATAGTGGTTTTGTTAACTGAGACTTTGACTGGAATGTCACGCCTGAAGGAGGCATGTACGGGTTCTGGTCGTCACCAGAAAGCCCTGAGGACCTGGGATTGACTTGTGAAGCTGGCGTAAGCCCACGAAAAGCCTGGTACTTTGTTTGGTTGTGTGGTTCATGGCAGTCTTTCCAGGGAAGGAAGGAAGGTTGCTTTCCTGAAAAATGGCCAAAAGGAACCTGTAAGCACAACGGAAGCCTCAAGGATTTGAGTGAAACAACTAGTACAGGCGAAGCCAGATGACAGATGTGTGGGTCTGCTTCTGTGCCCCGAGGTGGGGGCGCGGACTGAGAAGTCAATCTAAAGGCTCCCTGTGTGAGTTCCAGCAAGGTAGACTCAAGGATCATAAGTGATCCAGGCTGCTCTTGGTGTGTTTATGCAAACAAACAGTCAAAATTAAAAGCGGGACTCAAAGTAGTCCTTTAATAACAGTGAGGGTGATCTTAAGGAGAAAAATTGTGGTTCAAGGAAAATCACAATGCTTAGTATTGGACATCAGAATGGTGCAGCTAACTGTCTTAAAAGTTTGTTTTCATTTGAAAGTTGAAACTGAGTTTGTAATATCACCAAAGATGTACAATTTACAGGTACGGAGGACCTGTGAAATTGCTATTGCTAAATGTTATTGCAGGAAGAACCTTGCAATTGAATGTCTTCCCAAAAGACAGTCTCACAGGCACAGAGACTGGTTTGGGGATTGTTGTGTGAATTAACCTGTGTGTTCTTCTGTTTTCATAGGGCATATGCCTATGACTTCATTACCTGAGTAATTGGTTGAATGAATGAGTGAATATAAACCTCGCTTTAAGGAGCCCATTTTCATCATCACCCCCTGAGACTCAAAGGTTTGGCTGAACTGAGTGGTTGGGTTGGTGAATGGTTTGGGCGGTCTGTGGGCTTCACTTTAGAACTAATTTTGCCTTTTCTGTCTTGATGGCTTGGACAGAAAGGGCCCAGGTATCTGAAAGGAGGGAAATCCTAACATATTCCCCTCAGCCCGAGTGAAGTATAGCGGGCCACAAGAGTTTCGGATAGGTGTAGCGTGCCTTGTACACCTTCCTCCAGATAAGCCATTCCTTACTTAAGTCCCTGCCTTTCTCATTTAGTGGTTATGATTTAATTGTGCCTTCCAGCTCTTTCCAAATCTGTCACCTCCAGAATATGACCAGGATGCCAACGGTCCAGTAATGCCAGCCTTTGGACACCGAGCCTGCGACTTCCTGGTGACAGCCAACTGACCAAGATTCTGTAAGGTCCCTCCCCTTATAGGAAGGACTCCCTCCGTGCTGCACCCCCCCTTTCAGGGCACCCCTGACCCATGGGTGGGTAAAACAACGTCCATTCCCAGCCGGAAGCAGTTACAAGAAGATGAGATCTTCATCCATTGTCCTTTAAAAGAATTTAAAGTGGGTGTATATCTGAAAGGAGGGATTGTTACAGGGTGCAGCCAAGAAGGGGGACCCCAAATAGGCATTTGAAATGGGGTCCAGAACTCAAGATGTCCAGGAGATTTTAAGGTGTCTTCACCCCTTCCCCCACAGGTGTGAGTTGGAGGAAGGGGCACACAGAGCAAAAACATGCAGGGCAGCTTTGCAGCTAATCCATGGCATGGTCATTTAGCATACCTATAGCCTTTGGCTGGTCACTTAGATATGCTAAATAGCTATGGCCATGCTCAAGTCCAGGGGGATGGAAAGGGATCTCCCCCCCAAGATGGGACTGGGGGGCAGGTCCCCTGAGTTACAGTGCCTGCGTGGGAGCTGGGAGAAGATTGGCTCCATGACATGGGGTGACACCTGCCCAGACCCATGATGGTGACCAGAAAAGCTGGAGGAGACAGCAGATTGAGGGCAAGTGTGCCCAAGTGGAGGAGGAGTCGGAAATGGGGCTGCAGAAGAAGATTGGTGCTGGGGATTTAAACCCAGACATGGCAGCCATTGAGGGGGAACCATGCGGCTTTGGACAGAGTGGGGACTCTCCCTTCCCGTAGCCCTGAGGAGGGGAACCACGCGGCTTTGGCAGAGTGGAGACTCCCACATCCCAGAGGAGGAGAACCATGCGGCCTTGACAGAGTGGAGACTCCCGTGGCCCTGGGAGAGAGGACCACGTGCCTGTGCCAGAGTGGGGACCCCCACAGATTTAGAAGGGGGAACCACCACCTGGTTTTAGCAGAGATCCCAGCGACTCAGTGGAGGGTGCCGGGAACCCAGGGAGGTCTCCCAGTCGAGATGGAGGACTAACTAAGAACCAGAGGACTGCCTGAGCCATGGATTTCTATTTCCTTTCCTGAGATACGGTACTCTGGACTGGGCAAAGGGGGAAAGGAAGGAAAGACTGTGTGTTTGTGGGTGTTTTTAGGGACTTTAGGATTTTTGATAAAGACATTAGGTCACTACTTTAAGTTAGTATAGCATTAAATAAACATTTCCTTTCCTTTTCACGAATCTCTGGCATTGAGAGACATCTCTCCTAGGGCGGTGGACATAACGGACCCGGGGCCTTCTTTCAATAATAGTATATCGTCCCAGGCCCCCCCCCCCCTTGTTGTGTTCTGTAACACCTTGACCTCTGAGAGAGTGGGGATGCAACCCAGGGCACTGTGCCCAACTCATCACTACCTCTCCCACTTTGGGCAGTCACTGCTGCAGACTTTAGAGAGTCTTTATAAGGTATAGCCACATGACATAGAGTTGAGAGAGGGTAGTACCAGCCACACCACCCTCAGAACACAGATCAGGATGCATTTCCTAAGAACACAAGTCTCCAGCACAGTCTCACCATCTAAGAGGGCCTGGTGACAAGTGAACAAGAGTGAATAGACAAGATATTGAGAGGCTTTCCCCACAGTTCCTCACCTGGGTCCCCCATAAGGGACGTAATAGTGATTCAGGATGTAGCTCTTTCCCCCCAGGTTCACAGAGATGTTCCTGTTCTTAGTCCAGAAGTCCAATTCCAAGGCAAGGGTCCCAATGTTGTCCCTGGGGGGGGAGCAGCCGGGCACCACCTCAGCCTAGGCACACCTCTCTATTCCCACCCTGGGAGGTCTTAGGTATGGGGAGCCTGCAGCACAGCACGAGGAGAGGGTGCCCACCGTAGGAAGGCAGTATCATTGGTGTAAGTCACATAGCGGTCCATCATGAGGGTCAGGAGTGGGGGCTGGCTGCGCTGCAGGTAGTACACTCGGGCCCCGTTGGGCACATGTCCATAGCTGCCGAGAAGGAGACTTGCTGACACGCCCCTGCCCAACCATCATAGCCAAGGCAAACCCAGTTCCAAGCCCATGGCACCTGCCTCTCCTGCACCCGGCCTGGAGGTGCCAGGTGCCCACTTACATTTGCACCAGGTCCAGGAAATTCTGCAGCATGCCCTTCACTGTCTCAGGCATCTCAGAGAGGAGCAGACCCTCCATCACCCAGTAGGAGTCCCTGGCAAAAGGGACAGCTCAGGTATCCCAACCATGCACCCCACTCCCCACCCTCTGCCCTGCATACCCAGGCCCCATCAGTGTGGCCCACCCCCACTCAGGTGACTCCACTTGCTGGTTCTGGGCTCCCCACCACTCTCACCCCTGCAGCTGCTGGCTGCTCACCAGTAGTAGAACTCCAGAAAGCGCCCGCCAGGCACAATGAAGGGGTGCTGAGAGTAGATCAAAGAGAACCGCTCTGGGTGGTGGAGGACCTCTGGCTTCACCTGAAGTCAGGAGACAAGGCACAGGGAGCCTACACCCCCCACCCCCCTTTCCCAGAGCCTGGAGGCCAGAGGAGTCTGGCCCAGTGGAGGCACTGGCAGCTGTGGGCTTTGGAGCCAGGAAGCTTGGACTTGGGATTGGGTTTGGGCTTGGGCTTGGGCTCTGCTGCTGCTCAGCCCTGTGGGCTCAGTCAAGGACTGGCTCTGGGAACCTGGACTGCTCACCCCCACGGGCAGGCCTCTGAGTCCCTGCTGTGCTCTGATGGGGACCCCAGGCTGCGACACTGTGGATGGGGGAGAGACATTCACACAGACTACGAGTCTTGTGAAGGAAAAGGGCTAGCGGCTTCGCTCTCAAGGGGAGCAAAAAGCTGTGGCCTCTGCCATGACAGGCCTTTATTTCCATCTCTGGGCACATTACATGATGGTCCTCATTATTATCCCCAGTTGGCTTTGGGTGGTTACATTTTACAGAAAACTAAGGAGCCAATGCCGCTAATCACATCACAGAGGAGGAATATTTGCAAATGAAAAGGCAAAAGTGGTTGAACCAGTTACACTCATCCTTGGAAGGTTTAGCATAGATTCTAGGAAGTTACTTTGCAGTAAATGTTTGCTACAAATCAGGGTGAGGGAGTTTTTTTAGCAAAAGCAAGACTCAAAGTGGCCTAGGCACATTGCAGGCCTGATTCCCCACTGGAGAACCTATCCGTGGGCATGGGTCCTGTGCATCTCCGAGTGGGAGCTGGGCCCACACCACGGAGAACGTTCTCCTACAGTGCTCCATGGTGTGCAGGAGCCCCGACAGCTCAGCCTGGCACCAGCAAGTACTCACCAAGCAGTGGCCACTACTAGGACCCAGGTTGGGGACCATTTCCACCACCTCCTCAAGTCTCTGCTACCACCACCAAGCCAGGCCCAGAGACTCGGGACCCCCCCCACTCTCTGGCCCAGGTCCCTTTCCCCAGTGAGGTGGATGTGGGTGAACATGGCTGAGGGAGAGAGCAAGGTAGGACCGGAGTGGAGCTTGCTGTGTGTCTGTGTCAGGTATTTCTCTGTTCCTTCCCTGCTAGTTCTGCATGAGTGAGTATGGCTTTAGCAGGAGAGAGGTTTTCAGGGGAACAGTGGAATGAGGCTCAGGTTTCCTTGGGGGCTGGCTGAGGCAGCAGCCCACACTAGCGAAGGAGCCCAGAGTTTCATCCTGCCTGTGGGTGTCAGGGCTCTGACGCCTGGGTGTGAGGACCAGTGCTGTGCAGCCTTGGGCAAATCACTGCTCTCTCTCTGAGCCTCAGATAAAACAGACAAAGTGCCAACAGAGGACTGTGCCGACCACAGGGCTGGGCCACAATCAGCAGTGGCAATGATCATTTCTGAGCAGAGGTGTGGCCTCAGGAGCTCAAGGAAGAGAGAGTTCAGCAGGACAGTGAACAGGAGTACAAATGGGGTCTATTCTTATCTTCACTCCCCTCCTTTTCTTACTGGGAAGGCCTTCTAGAGCCTATGAAAAGACCCCCTATTCCACACATCCAAAATCTCATGATTCCTCTCCCAAAACAGCTGCACATTTGTGTCCTCAGAGCTAGGGAATCCATACAGCCAGTGTTCTACCAAGGATGAATCTGGGGACAGGACAGTGCAGGTCCTGGGAGCTGCAAAGGACCACTTGCTCAGGGAATTCCAGGTCTTAGTGTTACAGGTGCAGCCAAGAGGGGGGACCCCAAATGGGCATTTGAAATGGGGTCCAGATCTCAAGGTGTCCAGATTTTAGGATGTCCTCACCACCACCCCCCAGGTGTGGGTTGGGGGAAGGGACAAATGGAACAGGGCCATTGAGAGCTGTTTCCCATAGCAACAGCTTTGCAGCTAACCTCTGGTGTGGTCATTTAACCTTTGACTGGTTGCATAAGTATGTTAAATAGCTGTGGCCATGCCCTGAGCCAGGGGAATGGAAATAACTTCCCCACCAAGACGTAACTGGGGGGCAGGTCCCCGGAGTTACAGCACCTGCATGAGAGCTTAGAGATGATTAACTCCTTGACGTGGGGCTGCACCTGCCCAGACCCATGATGGCAGCCCAGTAAAGCTGGAAGGATATGAGTTCTGGCCTGTGAGGCCAAGTGTGGGAGGAGTCGGAAATGCGTCTGCAGAGGAAGATTGGCGCGGGGATTTAAACCCAGACACAGCAGCCATTGAGGGGGAGAACCACGCGGCCTTGACAGAGTGGAGACTCCCGCAGCCCTGAGAGGGAAAACCATGCAGCTGTGGAAGTACAGAGACAATCACAGCCATTGGAGAGAGAGAACCACACAGCTTTAGCAGAGTGGAGACTCCCACAGCCCTGAGAGAGAGAACCACGTGGCTCTGGCAGAGTGGAGACTCCCGCAGCCCTGTGAGAGAGAATCACAATACAGCTTTAGCAGAGAACCACCACTCAGCTTTGGCAGAGTGGCGACCCTTTTCCTTGCAGTCGCTGAGGAGAGAAGCACGTGGTTTTGGCTGAGTGGGAACTCCAGTGGCCCTGAGAGAGAGGACCACGTGGCTGGAGCAGAGATCCCAGCGACACAGCTGAACCGAGGGAACCGAGGCAGAACCGAGTAAAACCGAGTAAAACCGAGTAGAACTGAGTGAACACGGTAGAACCGAGGGAGGTCTACCAGCCAAGATGGATTACTGGGAAGAACCAGGGGCTGCCAGAGCCGTGGACTTCTATTTCCTTTCCTGAGATATGGTACCCCAGACTGGGCAAAGGGGGGAAAGGAAGGACTGTGTGTTTGAGGGTATTTTAAGGGACTTTGGGATTTTGATGAAGTCATTAGGTCACTACTTTAAGTCTGTACAGCATTAAATAAATGTTTCCTTTCCTTTTCATGAATCTCTGGCATTGAAAGACATCTTTCCTATAGACGGTGGACATAACAGACCTGGGGGCTTTTCTTTCTCAGTAATAGCATATCATCCCAAGGCACCACCCTTGTTGTTGTTCTGTAACACTAGAAGCCCAAAATGTGGTGGGCTATAAGTAGGCATGTTTCCTTAGACCTTGGGGACAACAATAGGATGCCAAAGTATTAGACCTCTGGAAGTTCATGGGGCCCAAGGATAGGAGCCCTGGTTACTCCATCTAAACCAAATGTCACCGCAGGGAATGACTCTCAAGCCACGATGTACAGAAACTTGCGGGAACAGCGCTTGGCTGCCCTGAAGGCCATCCTTTGGGACGAAGAGAAAGGTGTCTGGTTTGACTATGACCTTGAAAACAGAAAGAAGAACCGAGAGTTTTACCCATCCAACCTTGCTCCTCTCTGGGCGGGCTGCTTCTCTGACCCAGACGTCGTGGACAAGGCTCTGAAATACCTGGAGGTGAGGGGGGCAGCACCACTTGCTCTCCCCTGACTCTGAGCAGTGACCTCTGGCAAGTGTCAGCCACCCCCCTCCTGTGCCTTAGCCTGACGGTCCCACTGCAGCCACCAGGGGGGCAGGTGTGAGACAAGAAGAGAAGGCCCAGGAAAGTGACATCTGGCTTTAGGAAAGCCCAGCCTCCTGGCTCCCGGCCCAGCCCCCACCCACAGTTGTAGTGATGTCTGGAACGTTGCAGGACAGCCAGATACTGACCTATCGATACGGAATCCCAACATCTCTCCGGAAAACGGGCCAGCAGTGGGACTTCCCCAGTGCCTGGGCCCCCCTCCAGGACCTGGTCATCAGAGGTAGGAGGCAGGGATGGGACATACCCCAGGACCTTACCGCCTGGGTGTAGAGGGTCAGCCTTCCAGGTACTGGGGAGTTGTGAACAAAGGATGCGGGGGGCGGGGGGGGCGGTCTTTCTCTGACTCCTCCGGCTCTCTCAGCCTCCCGCTCAGCAAACATTTATGCCCACCTCCACTTGTCAGGAGAATCAGCCCTCCACTCCCTCCAAAACCAGGCCCTGGATTAGAGCAGGTTCACCTGTGGTTCCAGAAAGGAGGTTGCAGGGCCCGGGCCTCCTTTCCTCCTTGAGAGAGAGGCTCAGGCCTCTGAGCCCCTTGGGGCAGGGGGCTCTGGAGGTTCAGGGTCCTGCCTCGGGGCGGGGGTTCAGGTCTGGCCAAGTCGCCTTCACCCTGGACTCAGGAAGTAGCTTTCCAGCTGGCGCAGAATTGGATCCGAACCAACTTTGATGTCTACTCCCAAAAGGCAGCCATGTATGAGAAGGTGAGCGGGCCCTGAGCCCATTCCCAGCAGTACTCCTACCTGTGGTGAGGTGGGGAATTCTCAGGCTTTGCAAAGCCCAGATCCCGGGACAGTGGTGGCACCCAGTGGCTATTCCTGGGCACTGCATGGGTAAGCGCCAGACTACAGCCCCTTCTCCCAAAAAGGCTCCCATTTCCTGCTCCTCCTAGAGGGCTGGATGGGGGGAGGGGGTGGGCTAGGGATAGTACTGACCTTAGAACTTGTCCTCTTGTCCCCAGTATGACATCGGCAATGGTGGACAACCCGGTGGCGGAGGGGAGTATGAAGTTCAGGTGAGTGGGCCAACATCCTACAGGGATTTGGGGGGCCCTGCTGTCCCCACAAGCTGACCATAACTTTTCCCTCTAAGCCTCCATTTCCTCCCATGTGTGTCCACAGGGAGGAGTCTGACTGGTACTCCTTGGTACCCCTGGGACTAGCTAGGCAGGGCCAGAGCCTCTGGGTAGAGATCCCACACACGTACCTAACAGCACTTGGGGCCTTCCCCAAGGGTCTTTCCCCACTGGCCATGCCTCTCTCCAGGAGGGGTTTGGCTGGACCAATGGAGTGGTCCTGATGCTCCTGGATCTCTATGGTGACCGGCTGAGTTCAGGGACCCAGACAGCTTTCCTGGAGCCCCACTGCCTCACAGTTGCCCTTCTGCTTAGCCTGCTGCCACAGTGATGGGCCTCACTGCCCCCTCTGCCTTCAGGTGCTCCTCTAGCTCCAGCTCCTGCCTCATTAAACCTGTGCATGAGTCCCTACCTTCTCCTGCCTCTTCATTCTCCATCCCTGGAGACCCCATGCCCTCCTATACGTCCCGCCCGTCCTTGGTCATAGTGGATGGGGACAGGGTAGGAACCTGGAGGTCATGGGTTAGGCCCTGGGTCCCTCCTGGAACATTTTAATAAAGTGGAAATTCTACTCTGTTGGGAGGACCTGACCCTTCTACCCCAGGTACCCCAGCCCAGTGCCCCACACAACTTGGCCTCCCAGCAACATACTTCAAATGCTTTATTGTTCTGTTGAGATGCTTACAAATATTGCAAATCACCCAGCCTGGACCCAGCAACCATGGCCCAGTGCTGGAGAAGGGAGCAGAGAGGTGAGTTCAGAACAAATCTCACAAACTATGCTTTTGAACCATTCATTTTAAGGAGTTCAAACTTGAATGTATTAGTCTGGATCATTGTATGTCCTTAGGCACTTTTGAAAGCAATAGAACAATAGCTGACATGTATGTTATCAGCTAAGTACTCAGGAGGAGAAGGGAAGAAAGCTTTGGTAAGACCACAGTCATTCTATGGTGACTGTGGGCATAACTAAAGATGTGCTCCACTCTGAAGCAACATCCGGCTTAACACTGAGGTTGGAAATAGAATTCACTGAAATAATCTAGCCAGTAACTCCTCAAATAAACAAACAAGCAGCAATTTTTAAAAACACTGGTAGGAGGAGGGGAGGGCAGAGGGGAGCCAGTACCCAAAATGTCCATATTATCTAAAATGTCCATTTCTTGCCAAAAATTACAAGATGTATAAAGACACAGGAATGTATGCACACACACTTTAAAAATAAGTAGAAAAGAGAAACTGCCTAAGAGAGACCAAATGTTAGATCTAAACAAAAACACTTCAAAGTGGTCATTAAAAAATGTGTCCAAAAAAACTAAAGTGAACTGATAAAAGAAGTAAAGTATAATGATAATGTTGCATCAAATAAAAAAAATAAAGAAAGAAATAGAAATTATTTTTTTTAAAAAAAAGAATCAAATGAGTGTTTCTAGTTTCTAGCCCAGCTTGGAAGTGATCAGAGTGATCTCTGAACAACAATTTAAAAACTGAACAAATCAAAAATTAACAACTCTTTCAGAGAGTTCAGATTTTTCAGAGAATTGAGATCACAGGGAAAACTGCCACCCCCCAAAACTGGAGAGACAGGAGAATACAGAGAATTGCAACTTACCAGAGAAAAAACTCACAAGCCAAAACCCATGCAGAAACCAGTACTAAGTTTGTTTTGACCAGTATATCATGCCCAGCTTTTAACAAAAAAATATAAGGCATATTAAAAGGCAAAGAAGAAAACAGTTTGAAGTGATAGGAAAAGTATCGGAGCAAGCTCAGATCTAGCAGGGATCTTGGAACTATTAGACTGAGAATTTAATTTAATTTAATTTTTTTTTATGGAACACTTCACAAATTTTCATGTCATCCTTGCACAGAGGCCATGCTAATCTTCTCTGTATCGTTCTAATTTTCGTATGTGTGCTGCTGAAGCAAGTATTAGATTGAGAATTTTATTTTATTTTTTAATATATTTTATTGATTATGCTATTACAGTTGTCTCATTTCCCCCTTCACTTCCCTCCAGCCTGTACCCCCACTGTACCCACCCACATTCCCCCCCTTTAGTTCATGTCCATGTTTCATACTTATGAGTTCTTTAGCTTCTACATTTCCCATACTATTCTTACCCTCCACTTATCTATTTTCAACCTACATTCTATGCTACTTATTCTCTATCCCTTTTCCCCCTCTCTCCTCCTCCCACCCCCCTGTTGCTAACCCTCCATGTGATCTCCCTTTCTGTGCTTCTGCTCCTGTTCTAGTTGTTTGCTTAGTTTCTTTTGGTTTTGCTTTAGGTGTGGTTGTTAATAATTGTGAGTTTGCTGTCCTTTTAATATACATGTTTTTTCTTTATCTCCTTTTCTTAAATAAGTCCCTTTAGCATTTCATAAAATAAGGGCTTGGTGATGATGAACTCCTTTAACTTGACCTTATCTGAAAAGTACTTTATCTGCCCTTCCATTCTGAATGAAAGCTTTGCTGGATACAGCAATCTGGGATATAGGTTCTTGTCTTTCATGACTTGGAATACTTCTTTCCAGCCCCTTCTTGCCTGTAAGGTCTTTTTTGAGAAATCAGCTGACAGTCTGATGGGAACTCCTTTGTAGGTTACTGTCCCCTTATCTCTTGCTGCTTCTAGGATTCTCTCCTTCATTTTTACCTTGACTAATGTAATTATGATGTGCCTTGCTGTGTTTCTTCTTGGGTCCAACTTCTTTGGGGGCTCTCTGAGCTTCCTGGATTTCTTGGAAGACTATTTCCTTTGCCAGATTGGGGAAGTTCTCCTTTATTATTTGTTCAAATATGTGCTCAATCTGTTGCTTTTCCCCTTCCCCTTCTGGTACCCCCTATAATTCGGATGTTGGAATGTTTAAAGATGTCCTGGATGCTCTTAAGCTTCTCCTCATTTTTTTGAATTCTTATTTCATCATGCTTTCCTGCTTGGTTGATTCTATCTTCCTTCTGGTCCACTGTATTGTTTTGAGACCCAGTTTCCTTCCCTTCACTATTGGCTCTCCTCCGTGTATCTTCCTGCATCTCTTTTATCGTATCCTGCATCTTTTCATCTAATTTGCACCCAAAATCAACCAATTCCGTGAGCTTTCTGATCACCAGTGTTTTGAACTGTGCATCTGATAGATTGGCTATTTTTTGGTCACTCAAAAGGATGAGTCCTGGGGTACTGATCTGTTCTTCTGTTGGAAACATGTCTCTCCCTGTCTCTCCTTTTCTTCCCATTTTTTTCTGGTCTGGTCGCTCTTGTTACGGTGAGGGGCGGAGCCTTAGGTGTTCACCGGGGTTGGGCACCCCAGTCGCTAGATTGTGGCGTTATATGTGGGGGCGGGGGCAGGAGCAGGAACGGGAGGAAACAATGGCGGTAGTTCCATTCTCCTGGGATCTCAGACCCTTCTCTGGGATCCTGGGCTGCGAGCTCTGCCCTGGTCCACAATCACCGCCTCACTGGGTCTGCCAGCCACAGCTTGCGTACTCAGGGACCACAGCTGTGTTCTTGAGCACCGGATGGCTTTCGCGCCAATTTTGCGCCAATTTTTCCCCGACCTCCGCGCGCCGCTGACCCACACCCACCTGGCTCGTCCTCTCCTGCCAGTCTGGATGTACAGGTCTACTTCAACTTCTTGGCTGTCTGACTTCCATTCAGATAAATCCTCTATCAGTTCTGGGTGTTGTTCTAGCTGTAAATTGTTGTTGTTCTAATCTTGGTTGTGTGAGGAGGTATGCCTCCATCTTGCCGGAAGTCAGATTGAGAATTTTAAAAGAACTACAATTGTCCAGCCAAGATGGAGGCATAGGTGGGACGCACCGTACCTCCACACACAACCAAGATTGGAACAACAACAATTTAGAGGCAGAATAACATCCAGAACTGACAGAAAATTTATCTGAATGGAAGTCGGACAGCCAAGAAGTTGAAATAGACCCATTTATCCACACCAGTAGGAGGGGGCAGCGCAGAGATCAGAGACAGTTGGGCACATAAGGCATCTGGGGGGCACATAAGGCATCTGGGGTGCGCAAGATCGCAGCGGGTGGACCCTGAGACCACAAGTGGCATCTGGCAGACCCAGTGAGGTGGCAATTGTGGAGCAGGGCAGAGCGCACAACCCAGGATCCCAGAGAATGGACTAAGGTCCCACGGAGAACAGAGCAACCGCCATTGTTCCCTCTCAACCCTGCCACCACATACAATGTCACAATCTAGCAACTGGAGTGCCCAGCCTTGGTGAACACCTAAGGCTCCGCTCCTCATCATAAAAGGAGCAACCAAACCAAAAGGGGGGGGGGCTCAAACAGAAGAACAAATCAATGCCCCAGAACTCATCCTTTTAAGCAACCAAGAGATGGACAAATTATCAGATCCAGTTCAAAACACTGGTGATCAGGAAGCTCACAGAAATGTTTGATTTTGGTCACAAATTAGATGAACAAATGCAGGTTATGACTAAAGAAAAGAAGGAAAATGCAGAGGGAACCAATAGTGATGGGAAGGAAACTGGGACTCAAAACAATAGAGTGGACCAGAAGGAAGAAAGAAACAACCAAACAGGAAGGAATGGAGAAATAAGAATTCAAAAAAACGAGGAGAAGCTTAGGAACCTCCAGGACATCTTTAAATTTTCCAACATCTGAATTGTGGGGGGTGCCAGAAGGGGAAGAGGAAGAGCAACAGATTGAAAATGTATTTGAACAAATAATAAAGGAGAACTTCCCCATTCTGGCAAAGGAAATAGACTTCCAGGAAATCCAGGAAGCTCAGAGAGCCCCCAAAGAAGTTGGACCCAAGAAGAAACACAGCAAGGCACATCATAATTACATTAGTCAAGGTAAAAATGAAGGAGAGAATCCTAGAAGCAGCAAGAGATAAGGGGACAGTAACCTACAAAGGAGTTCCCATCAGACTGTCAGCTGATTTCTCAAAAAAAGACCTTACAGGCAAGAAGGGGCTGGAAAGAAAGTATTCCAAGTCATGAAAGACAAGAACCTATATCCCAGATTGCTGTATCCAGCAAAGCTTTCATTCAGAATGGAAGGGCAGATAAAGTGCTTTTCAGATAAGGTCAAGTTAAAGGAGTTCATCATCACCAAGCCCTTATTTTATGAAATGCTAAAGGGACTTATTTAAGAAAAGGAGATAAAGAAAAAACATGTATATCAAAAGGACAGCAAACTCACAATTATTAACAACCACACCTAAAGCAAAACCAAAAGAAACTAAGTAAACAACTAGAACAGGAGCAGAAGCACAGAAAGGGAGATCACATGGATCTCCCTTAACAGATCACCTGTTAGCAACAGGGGGGTGGGAGGAGGAGAGAGGGGGAAAAGGTACAGAGAATAAGTAGCATAGATTGTAGGTTGAAAATAGACAGGGGGAGGGTAAGAATAGTATGGGAAAT